GGTTAAGATGTGTTGTGTTGTGTGGTTCAGATGTGTTGTGGTGTGTGGTTCAGATGTGTTGTGTGGTTAAGATGTGTTGTGTTGTGTGGTTCAGATGTGTTGTGGTGTGTGGTTCAGATGTGTTGTGTTGTGTGGTTCAGATGTGTTGTGTGGTTAAGATGTGTTGTGTTGTGTGGTTCAGATGTGTTGTGGTGTGTGGTTCAGATGTGTTGTGTTGTGTGGTTCAAATGTGTTGTGTGGTTCAGATGTGTTGTTTGGTTTAGATGTGTTGTGTTGTGTGGTTCAGAAGTGTTGTGTTGTGTGGTTCAGATGTGTTGTGTTGTGTGGTTCAGATATGCCATGTTGTGTTGTTTGGTTAAGATGTGTTGTGTGGTTCAGATATGCCATGTTGTGTTGTTTGGTTCAGATGTGTTGTGTTGTTTGGTTAAGATGTGTTGTGTGGTTCAGATATGCCATGTTGTGTTGTTTGGTTCAGATGTGTTGTGTTGTTTGGTTAAGATGTGTTGTGTGGTTCAGATATGCCATGTTGTGTTGTTTGGTTCAGATGTGTTGTGTTGTTTGGTTCAGATGTGTTGTGTTGTTTGGTTCAGATGTGTTGTGTTGTTCAGATATGCCATGTTGTGTTGTTTGGTTCAGATGTGTTGTTTGGTTCAGATGTGTTATGAGGTTCAGATATGCCATGTTGTGTTGTTTGGTTCAGATGTGTTTGTTGTTCAGATATGCCATGTTGTGCTGTGTGGTTCAGGTGTGTTGTGTTGTTCAGATATGCCATGTTGTGCTGTGTGGTTCAGGTGTGTTGTGTTGTTCAGATGTGTTCTGTTGTTCAGATGTGTTGTGCTGTGTGGTTCAGATGTGTTGTGTGGTTCAGATGTGTTGTTTGGTTCAGATATGCCATGTTGTGCTGTGTTGTTCAGATGTGTTGTGTTGTGTGGTTCAGATATGCCATGTTGTGCTGTGTGGTTCAGGTGTGTTGTGTGGTTCAAAAGTGTTGTGTTGTGTGGTTCAGAAGTGTTGTGTTGTGTGGTTCAGATGTGTTGTGTTGTGTGGTTCATATGAGTTGTGTTGTGTGGTTCAGAAGTGTTGTGTGGTTCAGAAGTGTTGTGCTGTGTGGTTCAGATGTGTTGTGTTGTGTGGTTCAGATGTGTTGTGTGGTTCAGATATGACATGTTGTGTTGTTTGGTTCAGATTGGGTGTTGTGTGGTTCAGATGTGTTGTGTGGTTCAGATATGCCATGTTGTGCTGTGTGGTTCAGGTGTGTTGTGTGGTTCAAAAGTGTTGTGTTGTGTGGTTCAGATGTGTTGTGTTGTGTGGTTCAGAAGTGTTGTGCTGTGTGGTTCAGATGTGTTGTGTTGTGTGGTTCAGATGTGTTGTGTGGTTCAGATATGCCATGTTGTGTTGTTTGGTTCAGATGTGTTGTGTTGTGTGGTCAGATGTGTTGTGTGGTTCAGATATGCCATGTTGTGCTGTGTGGTTCAGGTGTGTTGTGTGGTTCAGAAGTGTTGTGTTGTGTGGTTCAGAAGTGTTGTGTTGTGTGGTTCAGATGTGTTGTTATATGTTGTGTGGTTCAGATATGCCATGTTGTGTTGTTTGGTTCAGATGTGTTGTTTGGTTCAGATGTGTTGTGTTGTTCAGATATGCCATGTTGTGTTGTGTTGTTCAGATGTGTTGTGCTGTGTGGTTCAGGTGTGTTTGTTGTTCAGATGTGTTCTGTTGTTCAGATATGCCATGTTGTGCTGTGTGGTTCAGGTGTGTTTGTTGTTCAGATGTGTTCTGTTGTTCAGATATGCCATGTTGTGCTGTGTGGTTCAGATGTGTTCTGTTGTTCAGATGTGTTCTGTTGTTCAGATATGCCATGTTGTGCTGTGTGGTTCAGATGTGTTCTGTTGTTCAGATATGCCATGTTGTGCTGTGTGGTTCAGATCTGTTCTGTTGTTCAGATATGCCATGTTGTGCTGTGTGGTTCAGATGTGTTCTGTTGTTCAGATATGCCATGTTGTGCTGTGTGGTTCAGATGTGTGCTCTTGTTCAGATGTGTGCTCTTGTTCAGATGTGTTCTGTTGTTCAGATGTGTTCTGTTGTTCAGATATGCCATGTTGTGCTGTGTGGTTCAGGTGTGTTTGTTGTTCAGATGTGTTCTGTTGTTCAGATATGCCATGTTGTGCTGTGTGGTTCAGATGTGTTCTGTTGTTCAGATGTGTTCTGTCGTTCAGATATGCCATGTTGTGATGTGTGGTTCAGATGTGTTCTGTTGTTCAGATATGCCATGTTGTGCTGTGTGGTTCAGATGTGTGCTGTTGTACAGATGTGTTCTGTTGTTCAGATGTGTTCTGTTGTTCAGATATGCCATGTTGTGCTGTGTGGTTCAGATGTGTTCTGTTGTTCAGATATGCCATGTTGTGCTGTGTGGTTCAGATGTGTTCTGTTGTTCAGATATGCCATGTTGTGCTGTGTGGTTCAGATGTGTTCTGTTGTTCAGATATGCCATGTTGTGCTGTGTGGTTCAGATGTGTTCTGTTGTTCAGATGTGTTCTGTCGTTCAGATATGCCATGTTGTGATGTGTGGTTCAGATGTGTTCTGTTGTTCAGATATGCCATGTTGTGCTGTGTGGTTCAGATGTGTGCTGTTGTACAGATGTGTTCTGTTGTTCAGATGTGTTCTGTTGTTCAGATATGCCATGTTGTGCTGTGTGGTTCAGATGTGTTCTGTTGTTCAGATGTGTTCTGTTGTTCAGATATGCCATGTTGTGCTGTGTGGTTCAGATGTGTTCTGTTGTTCAGATATGCCATGTTGTGCTGTGTGGTTCAGATGTGTTCTGTTGTTCAGATATGCCATGTTGTGCTGTGTGGTTCAGATGTGTTCTGTTGTTCAGATGTGTTCTGTCGTTCAGATATGCCATGTTGTGATGTGTGGTTCAGATGTGTTCTGTTGTTCAGATATGCCATGTTGTGCTGTGTGGTTCAGATGTGTGCTGTTGTACAGATGTGTTCTGTTGTTCAGATGTGTTCTGTTGTTCAGATATGCCATGTTGTGCTGTGTGGTTCAGATGTGTTCTGTTGTTCAGATATGCCATGTTGTGCTGTGTGGTTCAGATGTGTTCTGTTGTTCAGATATGCCATGTTGTGCTGTGTGGTTCAGATGTGTTGTAACGTGTTGTGTGGTTCAGAAGTGTTGTGCTGTGTTGTTCAAATGTGTTCTGTTGTTCAGATGCATTGTTTTGTGTGGTTCGGGTGTCTTGTGTTGTGTTGTGTTGTGGTAAAGTGTGGCATAGAGTGGACTGCTGTTTGAGTTAATGTTTGGTGTGGGTTAGGACATGTGGCCGAGTTGATTTTGTAAATATTTTAATAAAGTCTTTTAATTGTCTTGTTTCTGCTTAGCCTGTTTCTTTCTCAAGCTAGATTAATTGAGCAGTATAAAAACAACAACAATTAGACTAGCTCCAGTACTTACATAACTACTAACATAACAATAGCCACTTTCACCTGTACAGTCACCAACAGCATAAGCGTCTTGCTTTGTTTTCCTTCCAGCTTCTGTATTATGTAAGTAAAAGGTTTCTTCTGTTTTTAGCTGACTTTGCTAAATTAGTTGGTCACTTACACTTGAAGGAAATCAGTGGTTCTGTGGATTGCATTCAAATCAGTGGCTGATATATTTGTTGTGTTCAGGATCTCTATAAGGTTAGTTTGTGTTTGGTTCATATTTATGTATCTTGTAGATATGTCTGTGTATTTAGTTTTATGAATTAGATGCATTAAGGTAATGCATTGATTGGTAATTATACATCTTTTATATATATATCTATATATGTCTAACTGAAAATAGTTTTAAACATAAACTAGTACTTCATAATAAGTATACATGTTATCTCGATATCTTCAGATATTCTATACCTTCCCTCTTAATTTGTTGAACACTTTAGTTAAATCTAAACTAAATCCATAATCAAATTTAACTATCAATCATTACTTAAATACCATCTAACTACATGTGTGAATGCAGTATGTATGTTTTTTACATGTTCTTAATTTTATTGGCCATTTCCTTTTTCTTATGCGGCCTTATTGTTTCAATTTTTCTAGAATATGGAAATCGATGTTACGATGCCTGTGATCTGCCAACGCTAACATAGTTGCCAGCTCATTGCCACACAGTGGTAAGGTATGTGTATATTTTGTGTATATTGTGTTCATATTATGTTGATATCATGGCAATTTGTAGAGGCGGTATTTATGTAACCGTCTTAAGTATTTTTAGATGTAATTTGGCTTAAAACCACAAGGGTAAGTGTTACTACTGCTCAGCATGTTTGTTACATTAATGTAAAATATCAAGTATAAATAATGTTTATAGTATGCATAGCATATTAAGTTGGATGAACTGTTTATGCATTGGAGTTCTTAACGTACATACTTTTCTATATGTTTCTGTGGTTCGCATTTCTTTTCGCGAGTTCAGAAACAACTAGTGTATTTGCAAATAAAGTCAGCTGTCAACTCACACCCCAGTAGCCTGTTCTGTGTTTACTGCCCCGACCGGAGCCTTGCCCGCTACTACAGGACACAACACAATATACACTCACTCCGTGGCAAGGCTGTCAACTCACACCCCAGTAGCCTGTTCTGTGTTTGCTGCCCCGACCGGAGCCTTGCCCGCTACTACAGGACACAACACAATATACACTCACTCCGTGGCAAGGCTGTCAACTCACACCCCAGTAGCCTGTTCTGTGTTTGCTGCCCCGACCGGAGCCTTGCCCGCTACTACAGGACACAACACAATATACACTCACTCCGTGGCAAGGCTGTCAACTCACACCCCAGTAGCCTGTTCTGTGTTTGCTGCCCCGACCGGAGCCTTGCCCGCTACTACAGGACACAACACAATATACACTCACTCCGTGGCAAGGCTGTCAACTCACACCCCAGTAGCCTGTTCTGTGTTTGCTGCCCCGACCAGAGCCTTGCCCGCTACTACAGGACACAACACAATATACACTCACTCCGTGGCAAGGCTGTTTTCGAGACTGTGGTGATCTGTCTGCCGGGGCTGACTGCTGTTGTTCAGGTCTCGATCTGGAGACAGAAAACACCATATATAATTCCAGCTCGTTTATCATCGTTAGGCAGTGCTATATAAAGCAGTCATTTTGTCTTGTCACGACAGCTGATAATAAATACTTGGGGATTTTATTAAACAATGAAAATTGTCAAAATGACACAATTAGCATACATGTAACATCATTTGATGGTGTTCTGGAAATAACAGTTTTCACCATATTCACAGTATTTACAATCATCCCAATATTCACCATATTCAAAGTATTCCCATTATGCAAGACAGTGTTAGCATCCAGCATAATGTAACCTGTCCCTAAAATAAACTGAACACACAGAGCCTTTCCACATCACTCTGTCAGCAACAGCAACCAGCAGCCAACCTAAGCAACTAGAATCACAAACAGTGGTACAAAATCACCATTATGCATAAACCTTTAGAAGCTGCAGTGTTTTGTAAATGACACAACATTAATCTGCCAAAGTCGATGGCCACACATTTAGAGCCCGAAAATCAATGCATGAGTATTAGCTACCCGGACCGCATTGATCCTGTAGGTGTCACAATGTGTCTAGATTATACACACAGCCGGATCAGGCAGCCATCGAACAAACTGGCATCACATGATCTGTGGACGTCCATCCATCCAGACGTCCATCCATCCATCCATCCAGACGTCCATCCATCCAGACGTCCATCCAGACATCCATCCATCATCCATCCAGACATCCATCCATCCAGACATCCATCCATCCAGACATCCATCCAGACATCCATCCATCCATCCATCCAGACGTCCATCCAGACATCCATCCATCATCCATCCAGACATCCATCCATCCATCCAGACATCCATCCAGACATCCATCCAGACATCCATCCATCCAGACAACCATCAATCCAGACATCCAGACGTCCATCCATCCATCCAGACATCCAGACGTCCATCCATCCAGACATCCATACGTCCATCCATCCAGACATCCATCCATCCAGACATCCAGACGTCCATCCATCCAGACATCCATCCAGACATCCATCCAGACATCCAGACATCCATCCAGACATCCATCCATCCAGATGTCCATCCATCCAGATGTCCATCCATCCAGATATCCATCCAGACATCCATCCAGATATCCATCCAGACATCCATCCATCCATCCAGACGTCCATCCATCCAAACATCCATCCAGACATCCATCCAGACATCCAGACGTCCATCCATCCAGACATCCAGACGTCCATCCATCCAGACATCCAGACATCCATCCAGACATCCAGACATCCATCCAGACATCCAGATGTCCATCCATCCAGACATCCATCCAGACGTCCAGACGTCCATCCATCCATCCATCCAGACATCCATCCAGACATCAATCCAGACATCAATCCAGACATCCAGACATCCATCCATACATCCAGACGTCCATCCAGACATCCATCCAGACATCCAGACGTCCATCCATCCAGACATCCAGACATCCATCCAGACGTCCATCCAGACATCCAGACATCCAGACGTCCATCCATCCAGACATCCATCCAGACATCCAGACATCCATACAGACATCCAGACGTCCATCCAGACATCCAGACGTCCATCCATCCAGACATCCATCCAGACATCCATCCAGACATCCAGACATACAGATTCAGACAGACGAGTTACTTCTCCTGGGTCCAGTTTAAAGGTCACGACTTGTCGGTCAAACAGCTTAACAACATGTGACACAAGTGACTATTCTGGTTCATGTGTGACTCCACAGAGCGCTGCCTCCTCAACAGAGCTTGTAGCTAGTCTAGGCATTGTTGCAGTGAACTTCCCATCACTGACCGCCTCAGACATACCCCCACACATACGTGGGACACAGCCATGTTTGACCTGAGTAAACACCGAAGGACCACTTCCAGCTGTCAACAAGCCCTTCATGCCACCACCCATGATCCATCTTCAACACAGTCAGTGTTTGTGCCCCGGCCAGCCCTCCTGTAGGTCTTCAGTACACCAGCTGTGTGGACTGGTTCTGGTTTGTCCAAGAATCCATGATGTAACGACATCCCAGACATATCCACACTGCCACACAATGAATGGACGTCATGTTTACTCTCTGGAGAGCACAACCCCCACAACCCACACAACCCCAACAACACAAATAACTTCCATGAGATGCCACCTATTCTCCTGGACAACTGGACAGTGTTAGGCTACACGACCAACCCATTCTCAGGGACACCATGGAGGGAATCTTTAAGTCAAATCTTAATTGTTAAGATATTCGATAGGACCAATTCAACTTATTCTCTCGACTGATTCAACTTATTTTCTCAACCAATTTAACTTTTTCTCTCAACCGATTCAACTCATTCTCTAAACCCATTCTCTCAACCAATTCAACCCATTCTCAAAACCAATTCAACCCATTCTAGAAACTGATTCAACCCATTCTAGAAACTGATTCAACCCATTCTCAACCAATTCAACCCATTCTCTCAACCGATTCAACCCATTCTCTCAACCGATTCAACCCATTCTTTCAATCGATTCAACCCATTTTCTAAACCCATTGAACCCATTTTCTCAACCAATCAACCCATTCTCTCAACCAATTCAACCCATTCTCTAAACCAATTGAACCCATTCTCTCAACCGATTCAACTCATTCTCTAAACCAATTCAACCCATTTTCTCAACCAATTCAACCCATTCTCTCAACCCATTGTCTCAACCAATTCAACCCATTCTCTCAACCAATTCAACCCATTCTTTCAATCGATTCAACCAATTCTCTAAACCGATTCAACCAATTCTCTCAACCAATTCAGCCCATTCTCTCAACCGATTCAACCAATTCTCTCAACCGATTCACAACATTCTCTAAACCAATTGAACCCATTCTCTCAACCAATTCAACCAATTCTATCAACCCATTCAACCCATTCTCTCAACTGATTCAACCAATTCTCTCAACTGATTCAACCCATTCTCAACCAAAAGAACCCATTCTCTCAACCAATTGAACCCATTCTCTCAACCAATTCAACCCATTCTGTCAACCGATTCAACTCATTCTCTAAACCAATTCAAACCATTTTCTCAACCCATTCTATCAATCGATTCAAACAATTCTCTCAACCGATTCAACCCATTCTCTCAAACAATTCAACCCATTCTCTCAACCAATTCAACCCATTCTCTCAACCAATTCAACCCATTCTTTCAATTGATTCAACCAATTCTCTCAACCGATTCAACCAATTCTATCAACCAATTCAACCCATTCTCTCAACCAATTCAGCCCATTCTCTCAACCGATTTAACCAATTCTCTCAACCGATTCTACTCATTCTCTTAACCAATTGAACTCATTCTCTCAACCAATTCAACCTATTCTCTCAACTGATTCAACCAAATCTCTCAACCGATTCAACCCATTCTCTCAACTAATTCAACCAATTCACTCAACTGATTCAACCAATTCTCTCAACCAATTCAACCCATTCTCTCAACCCATTCTTTCAATCGATTCAAACAATTCTCTCAACCAATTCAACTAATTCTCTCAACCAATTCAACCCATTCTCTCAACCAATTCAACCCATTATCTCAACCAATTCAACTCATTCTCTCAACCGATTCAACCCATTCTTTCAATCGATTCTCTCAACCGATTCAACCTATTCTCTCAACCAATTCAACCCATTCTCTCAACCAATTCAGCCCATTCTCTCAACCGATTCAACCAATTCTCTCAACCGATTCAACCAATTCACTCAACCAATTCAACCAATTGTCTAAATCAATAGAACCCATTCTCTCAACTGATTCAACCAAATCTCTCAACCGATTCAACCCATTCTCTCAACTGATTCAACCCATTCTCTCAACTGATTCTCTCAACCAATTCAACCCATTCTCAACCAATAGAACCCATTCTCTCAACCAATTCAACCCATTCTCTAAACCAATTCAACCCATTTTCTCAACCAATTCAAACCATTCTCTCAACCCATTCTCTCAACCCATTCTCTCAACCAATTCAACCCATTATCTCAACCAATTCAACCCATTCTCTCAACCAATTCAACCCATTCTTTCAATCGATTCAACCAATTCTCTCAACCGATTCAACCCATTCTCTCAACCAATTCAACCCATTCTCTCAACCGATTCTACTCATTCTCTAAACCAATTGAACCCATTCTCTCAACCAATTCAACCTATTATCTCAACTGATTCAACCAAATCTCTCAACCGATTCAACCCATTCTCTCAACTGATTCAACCAATTCTCTCAACTGATTCAACTAATTCTCTCAACCAATTCAACCCATTCTCAACCAATAGAACCCATTCTCTCAACCAATTCAACCCATTCTCTCAACCAATTCAACCCATTCTCTAAATCAATTGAACCGATTTTCTCAACCAATTCAAACCATTCTCTCAACCCATTCTCTCAACCCATTCTCTCAACCAATTCAACCCATTCTCTAAACCAATTGAACCCATTCTCTCAACCAATTCAACCCATTCTTTCAATTGATTCAACCAATTCTCTCAACCGATTCAACCAATTCTCTCAACCAATTCTCTCAACCAATTCAGCCCATTCTCTCAACCGATTCAACCAATTCTCTCAACCGATTCTACTCATTCTCTAAACCAATTGAACTCATTCTCTCAACCAATTCAACCTATTCACTCAACTGATTCAACCAAATCTCTCAACCGATTCAACCCATTCTCTCAACTGATTCAACCAATTCTCTCAACCGATTCTACTCATTCTCTAAACAAATTGAACTCATTCTCTCAACCAATTCAACCCATTCTCTCAACCAATTCAACCCATTATCTCAACCAATTCAACCCATTCTCTCAACCGATTCTACTCATTCTCTAAACCAATTGAACCCATTCTCTCAACCAATTCAACCTATTATCTCAACTGATTCAACCAAATCTCTCAACCGATTCAACCTATTCTCTCAACTGATTCAACCAATTCTC